GCCTTGGTGTTGTCAGAATTCAAGGCCCAGAAAAAACCAAAAAATTCTGCTGGCAGGATATGGAAATGAAGTCCCCGCATAACCCCAACGCCTGCCTGTTTCTCTTCAGAGATGAAATGCATCTATCATAATTTTGACAGACCCAAGGCTGGGCTGCTTGCTTGGCATCCGTCTCCACAACTTCCAAATGGAGCCCATTCTGTGATGACACCAAGTGGAGTTGGAGGTGGCCTAGGACCCTCTTCCATTCGCTTTAGGCGACCCTAGTAGTGGCCAAATGCGGGCCACTGGCAGAAAGAAAGCTTGGAGGGGCATGTATCCATCCTGGGGTCCCAGGCTTAGGCTGGTTTAGCCTATTCCAGAGAGCCACTGTAGCCTAACCCTAACCCTTGTGCTGGCAGGACTGCTGACCAAGAGGTCAGAGGTTTGAATCCAAGGAGCTCCCCTCTGTCAGCTCCAGCTCCCCATGCAGGGACATGAGAGAAGCCTCCCTCAAGGATGGTAAACAACCTCCTGGTCAACGTCCTTGCAGAGGGCCAATTCTTTCACACTAGAAGTGACCTGCAGTTTCTCAAGTGGCTCCTGACACACACATACACAAAAGCCTTTCCCATCCCAGCTCCTATCCCATCCCTCTCAGCAAGCAGGCCTTCTTCCCTTGCAACGACCGCCCCTTGAGGCTCCTGGAAAACTACAAACAAAGGTGAGGGTGGCAGAGAGAGAGAGAGAGAAGGAGGGATAAAGAGAAGGTAAAAGAGCGGGAAGAAGACGGAAAGAGGGAGGGGAGATGGAATGCTAGAGGAGAGAAGGAAAGAAAGAGAGAAGGGAAATGAGAGCAGGGAGGGATAGAGGAAGATGAAAGAGAGAAAGAGAGAGGAAGGGAGAAAGGGAGAGGGAAAGGGAAGGAGAAAGAGAGAAAGAGAAAAAGGGAAGGGAGAGGGAGGAAGACTAAAAGAGTGAGGGAACAGAGAGGGAAGGAAAGAGGAGAGAAGGAGAGAAAGAAAGAGGGAGGGAAAGAGAAGGGAGAGGAGGAGAGAAAGGGAAGAAAAAGGAAAATAGGGAAGGAGAGAGAGGAAAAAAGGGAGGGAGAAGAGAGAGAGAGAAGAAAAAGGGAAGGGAGGGGGGGAAGACTGAAAGAGGGAGGGAAAGGAAGGAAGAGGACAGAAAGAGAGGGGAAGAAAGACAGGGAGAGAAGGGGAGAACAGGAGGGATAGAGGAAGGTAGGGACGAAAGCCAGAAGAAGAGAGGGAAGAAGAAAAGGAAGGGGAAAGAGAGAGAAAAGAAAAAGGGAGGAAGACAGAATGAGGGAGAGAGGGGAAAAAGGGAAGGAGAGAGGAGAGAAAGAGAAAGAGAGGGGAAATGAGAGCAGGAGGAAAGGAGGAGAAAGGGAGGGATAGAGGAAGATAGGGACGAAAGAGAGAGGGAGAAAGGGAAGGAAAGAGAGAAAGCAAAAAGAGAGAATGAAAATGAGAGAAGGGAGATAGAAGGGAGACAGGGAGGAAGAAAGGGAGAGAGAAAGAGAGAAAGAGGGAGGGGGGAGGAAAGGATAGAGGAGAGAACGGGAAAGAAAAAGAGGGCAAATGAGAGCAGGTAGAGAGAGGGGTAGAAAGGGGGTTAGAGGAAGATAGGGACGAAAGAGAGAAGGGAGAGAGGGATGGAGAAAGGGATTAAGAAAGAGAAGGCAGAGGGAGGGAGGGGAGGGGGAAGGAAAGAGGAGAGAAGGAGAGAAAGAGAAAGAGAAGGGAAATGAGAGCAGGGAGGGAGAGGGGGAGAAAGAGGAAGATAGAGACGAAAGAGAGAAAGAACGAGGAAGGGAGAGAGGGAGGGAGAAATGGAAGGAGAAAGATAAGAAAGAAAGAAGAAGGAGAGGCTGAGAAAGAGAAGAAAGCGAGAAGAGAGAGCGGGAAATAGGGAAGGAGAGAGAGAGAGAGATAAAATGAGAGCAGGGAGAGAGGGGGGAGAATGGGAGAAAGAGAGAAAGAGAGAAAGACGAAAGAGGGAAAGAGTGAAGGGAAGAAAAGGAGGGAAGGAGAAAAAAAGGAGTAAGCAAGAGGGATACAGAGGGGGAAAAGAAGGAGAGAGAAGATGAGGGAAGAGAGATAAAGAGAGAGAGAGATTTCGGAAGGGGGGAGCTCCCTCCCGCCTCCCACCCGCACTGGAGCTGCCGATTCCCAGGAGTCCGCGCGACAGGATCCAACCCCGGCGGAAGAGGGAGGCTCGTGCCACCGGTCCCTGGGGCTGCGAGGGATGCGGCGCCTTCCTTCTGCGCCTGCGCAGTGAAGGCTCTCGGGATATCTCTCTCTCTCCCTCTCCTTCCAAAGCCTTTCACCGCGAGCGGCTGAGGAGCGAGGCATTCCAAGAGAGGAAGGAAGACTTTTCACCTTTGTTCCAAGACACACCCGCGCGCGCATCCTTTCCTTTCACGCGCCTCGTGGAAGGCAGAAACCCGCGCAGGAATCAACCTCTTCCCCGCCGAGGGACACTGCCAAGAGAGCAGCGCCTCAGACTCCACCGAGTGGCATTTCTCTCACACAGGAAAAAAGAAGAGAGAGAGAGAGACAATTCAAACGTGTCCCTTGGTTGTCCGTGGCCACTGCTCCTCTCCTCCTTCTCTCACACGATCCCAAGACATTTCTTCCTTATACAAACACCGGGAATAAACAAAAAACCATAAGCTCCCATTCAATAAGGACCCCCCCCCCCCCCCCCCCCCAAGCAGGTTGTAGATGTGCTAACTAGCTTAGGCTGGTCTGTAGTTTGTAGATTTACTACGTCTGACTTGCTCTTGTGCTTGTTTTCTACCATTAGATGCCTTATGTATCTATGAGACAGATCTGTATGCATATGTGTGTGTGCTAATAAACATATTTATTTCAAAACGAACACATTCCCTCCCTCAGCTTCGCTAGTATCCTCCCCCACAAAAATCAACTCCACATCAGAATTTCTCAGTGAGTTGCTGTGAGTTTTCTGGGCTGTATGGCCATGTGCCAGAAGCATTTCTCCTGGCGTTTCATCCACATCCATGGTAGGCATCCTCGAAGGTTGTGAGGTCAGTTGGAAATTAGGAAAATTGAGTTTATATATCTGTGGAGTGTCCAGGGTGGGAGAAAGAACTCTTGTCTGTTGGAGCTAGGTGTGAATGTTGCAATTGGGCAGCTTGATTAGCATCGAATAGCCTTGCAGCTTCAAAGCCTGGTTGGTTGCTGCCTAGGGTATCCTTTGTTAGGAGTGTTAACTGGCCCTGATTGTTTCTTGCCTAGAAACCCCCAGGTTTCTGAGTGTTGTTCTTTATTTACTGTTGTTGGGAGGTGTTAACTGATCCAGATTGTTTCTTGCCTGGAATTCCCCAGTTTTCTGAATGTTGTTTTTATTTACTGTCCTTATTTTAGGGTTATTTAATACTGATAGCCAGATTTTTCATCGTTTCTTCCTTTCTGTTGAAATTGTCCACATGCTTGTGGATTTCAGTGGCTTCTCTGTGTAGTCTGACATAGTAGTTGTTAGAGTGGTCCAGTATTTCTGTGTTCTCAAATAACATCCTGTGTCCACGTAGGTTCATTAAGAGCTCTGCTATGGCTGACTTCTCTGGATGAATTAGTCTGCAGTAAGCAGCCAGACCTCGAAGCTGAAAGGCTATTCAATGCTAATCAAGGTACCCAATTGCAATATTCACACCTGCCTCCAGCAGACAAGAGTTCTTTCTCCCACCCTGGACATTCAACAGATATATAAACCCCACTTGCCTAGTTTCCAACAGACTTCACAACCTCTGAGGATACCTGCCATAGATGTGGGTGAAAGGTCAGAAGAGAATGCTTCGGGAACATAGCCATACAGCTCGGAAAACTCACAGCAATCCAGTGATTGAGGCTATGAAAGCTTTCGACAACACTTATCTAGAAGAGTTTCATTTCTAACTCCAGGACCTATCTTGGTGCTCTTAGGGAGTATCTATTTGGAAATCAGTGCCAATTCATTCAGTGGGTGCCACTACCAAGTAAAGGTGGATAGATTTGCTGGGCCAGACTTAGGGTGCGTCTACACTTCAGTTTGACACCGCTTTAACTGCCATGGCTCAATGCTATGGAATCTATTCATTGGGAGTTGTAGCTTGGTGAAGCAGAGACGCCCAAAGATCTTGTACAAGTCCCACGATTCCATAACATTGAGGCGTGGCAGATACAGCCCGGAAAACTCACAGCCAACCCAGTGATTCTGGCCATGAAAGAACATTTCTCACATCCATCCAACATCTTTCCATCTATTGTCGAAGGCTTTCGTGGCCGGAATCATTGGATTGTTGTAGGTTTTTCGGGTTGTATGGCCATGTTCTAGAAGCATTCCTCCTGACGTTTCGCCTGCATCTGTGGCAAGTATCCTCAGAGGTTGTGAAGTTTGTTGGAAACTGGAAAATTGGGTTTATATATCTGTGGTATATTAAAAAACTCTAAAAAAAACCTAAAAAGTACTTTTAAAAACCCTGTAAAATTATAACAGTAAATAAAAAGCAAAACTCAATCACAAGGAAACTCCAGGAATATCTGGTCACCTCTCAACAAGGAAATTTCCCAGGCAGTAGCAAGCCACACCTAAACAACTGCCAGGCCATCAAATGCTAATCAAGTTGGCCAGTTGAAACATTCACACCTGGCTCCAACAGACAAGAGTTCTTTCTCCCACCCTGGACCTTTCACAGATATATAAACCCAATTTTCCAGTTTCCAACAAACCTCACAACCCCTGAGGATGCTTGCCAGAGATGCAGGCGAAACGTCAGGAGAGAATGCTTCTAGAACATCTTTCCCTCTGTTTTTTCCCCCTTTCTGAGCGTTTACATCTAAATATATCTCCCTCTGTCCCTGCGTGGGTCTGTCACACTCTCAAACACAGAGCGACTCCAGAGCTACTTCCCCCCTCCTCCTCAGGTCTCCCCCTCCCTCCCCTCCGCTCAGCCAGGCGTAGTGCGCATGCGCCTTTCTCCCGCTCCAGCCCGGGCCTCGCCTCCATCCAATGGGCGACGAGGAGCTGCCGGGAACAGGGGGAGCCCGGACGACGCTCCCAGCCCAGTGCCTCCGAGGGCTTCCCCGCAATAGGCACCGGTTGTCGTCAGGCCGAGAGGAGCAGCGGAGGAGGAAGAAGGAGGAGAAGGAGGAGGAGAAAGAACAATAGAGGAGACTGAGCGCCCTTTGCTGCAGTTGAGCAACAGCTGGACTCCAAGGAGGGCGTTGAGGAGGAGAGGGAGGAGAGGGTCCAGGTGGAGAAGGGAGGAAGGGACTTTCCCTCAAGGTTTGGGGGGGAAGCCAGTGAGGGACAAGAACAGCGCTTGGAAGGGAAGAGGAGGAAGAGGAGGAGGAGGAAAAGAGGAGGAGGTCCAGGCTCCTGGGGTGGGAGGAGGGGAGGGGAGAGAGGGGAAGGGACTGCCTTTCCCCCCTCGAAGGATTTGGAGGGAAGGAAGGGGGCCGAGGCGAGTACAAAGCCAGCGGCTTGGCGGGGAAGGGCCACTTCGACGGCGGCTGTGAAGGGCGGCCACCTCCACCGCAATTGTGGCGGGAGCAGCAGCAGCCGCCGCGTCGTTCTCCTTCCCTTCCCTCCGCGCGCTCTTCCCTTCTTCCTCCTCCTCCTCCTCCTCCTCTTCCTCCCCTCCGTCCTTCTTTTGCGCCGACCCGCCGGCCAGGATGATGATGATGTCCCTCAACAGCAAGCAGTCCTTCGGTATGGCCAACGGCGGCGGCGGGCTCCACGAGGGCAAGTACTCGGCCCTCCACTCCGCCTCGCCGTGCACCTCCTCCGCCGCCGCGCCCTCCGCCAGTTCGCCCAGCATCACCAGCGCCGGCGGGGGACGGGGAAGCGCCCCCAGCAGCAGCAGCAGCGGCAGCACCAGTAGCACCAGCAGCACCAGCAGCTCCTCGGCCGGCAACGGGAGCAGCTCCGAGGCCATGCGCCGCGCCTGCTTGCCCACCCCGCCGGTAGGTCGCCCTGCTCCCTTCCCCATCATGTTTATTTCATGGCCAAGCAGCAAATCAGGCCCAACCAACCCCGAGGAGGAGGCTTCCAGGGGGCGCCCCTGCCTTCTTATGACCTGGGGGAGGAGGGTGGGAGAGAGCAGAGGGGCAAGAGAGAGCTGCCCTTCTTCCTTCCTGCCCGGCTGCCAGGTTGCCCCTTCCTTCCTTGCTGCCATCCCCTTGCTCCCTCCTCTCTCCCTCCTCTTCTTCCCTTCTTCTTGATAGCACCCTTCCTCTCCTCTTACCACCTCTATTCTCTTTATCTCCTCTATTGCCAACACCTTTCCTCAAAACTTCTCCTTCCTTCTCTTTCCCTATCCCTTTTTCTCCTTCGTTTTTGTGTCTCTTCCATTGCCAGCACCTTCTCTCCCAGCTTCTCTTTTCCTCTTTCCCTATCCCCCTTTCTCCTTCACTTTTATATCAACTTCTCCTTCCCTCTCTTTCTCTATCCCCTTTCTCCTTCATTTTTGTATCTCCTCCATTGCCAATACCTTTCATCCCAACTTCTCCTCTCCTCTCTTTCCCTATCCCTTTTTCTCCTTCCTTCTCTTTCCTTATCCCTTTTCTCCTTCACTTTTATATCTCCTCCATTGTGAGCATCTTCCCTCCCAACTTCTGCTTCCCTCTCTTTCCCTATCCCCCTTTTTCCTTCATTTTTGTATCTCCTCCATTGCCAACACCTTTCCTCCCAACTTCTCCTTCCCTCTCTTTCCCTATCCCCCTTTCTCCTTCATTTTTATATCTCCTCATTGCCAGCTCCTTTCCTCCCAACTTCTTTCCTCTACTTCTCTTCCTATCCCTTTTCCTCCCTCATTTTTATATCTCCTCATTGCCAGCATCTTCCCTCCCAACTTCTTCCCTGTCTTTCCCTCTCTTTTTTTCTCCTTCATTTTTGTATCTGCTCCATTGCTGGCACCTTTCCTCCCAACATCTTCTTTCCTCTCTTTCTTTCCTCTTTCTCCTCTTCCTCTTTTTCTTCAGATTTCCCTCTTTTCCTTCTGACACTTCCTTCTCTCTCTCCAACTCTACTTCTTCTTTCAGACGTTCCCGCTCTTTCCTTCTCATCCCCCTCTCCTTTTCTCCTCCCTTCCTCTCCCACTCTTCCTTCCTCTTCCTCCTCCTCCTCCTCCTCTTCTTTCCCGTTCCTTCACACATCCTCTCTCCCCCTCCCCCTCCGCACTCCTCCTCTTCTTCTCTCTCCTTCCGCTTCACCTCTTTCTCTCACCTTCTCTCTTATTTTCCTTCCTTATCCCCTCGATTGCCTTGCCTTCCTATTCCTTTATTCTACCGCCCCTTCTTTCCTCCTTCAACCCTATTTCTTTCCTTTTTTGTTTCCTCCCCGCTTCCTGTCTTCCCTTCCTCCCTTTCATATATTTTTGCAACACCTGTCTGCTTCTTTCATCCTACCCACCTACCTACCTTTTCCCTTCCCCTTTCCCCTATTTTCTCCTCCTTCTTCTGCGCTTCACTGCATTTATCCTTCTTTCCTTCTGTCTTTCCCCCTTCTTTCCCACACTTTCTCTCCTTTCTCCTGCACTTCACCGCCTTCCTTCGTTCCTTCTCCCTTCCCTTCCTCTCTACTTTTTCTGCCTTTCTTTCCCCTTTGTTTCACTGCCTTCCTTCCTTCCCTTTTCCTTATTTTTCTCTCTTCTCCAGCAATTCACTGCCTTTCCTTATTTCTCCCTTCCCTTCTTCTTTACTTTGTCTCTTCCTGTCCTCGAACTATTCTGCCTTCCTTCCGTCTCCCTTCCTTCTTTCCTGTTTGTCTCTCTTCTCCTTCTTTCCTTCCATCCTTCTCCCTTTCTTCCTTATTTCTCCCTTCCCTTACGTTGTCTCTCCCATTCTTCGTACTTCACTGCTTTCCTTCTCCCTTCCCTTTTCCCTATCTGCCTCTCTTCTCCTTCCTTCCAACCTTTTCTTTTCCTTCCTTATTTCTCCCTTCCCTTCTTCTTTACTTAGTCTCTTCTCTTCCTTCATTCCTTCTTCCCTTCTCTCCCTTTCCCTTTACTTCACTGTCCTCTTTCCTTCCTCTTTTCTCCGTTCCCTTCTTCCTTCCCGGGTACTTCACTGCCTGCCTTCCTTCTCCCTTCCCTGTTTAGCTCTCTCCTCCTGCAATTCCCTTCCTTCGTTCCTTCTTCCCTTCCCTTACACTCCCTTTCCCTGTACTTCACTGTCCTCTTTCCTTTCTCCTTCCTCCGTTCCCTTATTCCTTCCCGGGTTCTTCACTGCCTGTCTTCCTTCTCCCTTCCTTGTTTAGCTCTCTCCTCGTGCAATTCCCTTCCCTACTCTTGCTCTCCCTTTTTCCCGCACTCCGCCGCCCCTTCCCCCTTCCTGGCCCTGCTCTGGGTCTGCTGGCCCCGCATGGCCGTGGGGCGTCTCTGGGGGTGCCTGTTCCGCGGGCGGCAGGAGCAGCAGCAGCAGGAACCGTAGTGATGTGTGCCTTCTACTTGCGCTTGCAGAGCAACATCTTCGGCGGGCTGGACGAGAGCCTGCTGGCTCGGGCGGAGGCGCTGGCGGCGGTGGACATCGTGTCTCCGGGCAAGAGCCACCCGCACCACCACCACCACCCGCACCCGCACCCGCCGCCGCCCCACCACAGCCCCTTCAAGCCCGACGCCACCTACCACACCATGAACACCATCCCGTGCCCCTCGGCCGCCGCCTCGTCCTCCTCCTCGGCCTCCTCGGCGGTGCCCATCTCGCACCCTTCGGCCCACCACCATCACCACCACCACCATCACCACCACCAGCAGCAGCCGCACCAGGCGCTGGAAGGCGGGGAGCTGCTGGAGCACCTGACGCCGGGGCTGGCGCTGGGAGCCATGACGGGGCCCGACGGGTCGGTGGTGTCGACGGCGGGGCACGCGGGGCCGCCCCCTCCCCACATGGCCGGCATGAACCCCATGCACCAGGCGGCGCTGAGCATGGCCCACGCGCACGGGCTGCCGGCCCACATGGGCTGCATGAGCGACGTGGACGCGGACCCGCGCGACCTGGAGGCCTTCGCCGAGCGGTTCAAGCAGCGGCGCATCAAGCTGGGCGTGACCCAGGCCGACGTGGGCTCGGCCTTGGCCAACCTCAAGATCCCGGGCGTGGGCTCCTTGAGCCAGAGCACCATCTGCCGCTTCGAGTCGCTGACGCTGTCGCACAACAACATGATCGCGCTGAAGCCCATCCTGCAGGCCTGGCTGGAGGAGGCCGAGAAGTCCCACCGGGAGAAGCTGACCAAGCCGGAGCTCTTCAACGGCGGCGAGAAGAAGCGGAAGCGCACCTCCATCGCGGCGCCGGAGAAGCGCTCCCTCGAGGCCTACTTCGCCATCCAGCCGCGGCCTTCCTCCGAGAAGATCGCCGCCATCGCCGAGAAGCTGGACCTCAAGAAGAACGTGGTCCGGGTCTGGTTCTGCAACCAGAGACAGAAACAGAAGCGCATGAAATACTCCGCCGGGATTTAGGCCCTTCCGCCCCTTCCCACGCCCTCCCCACCCCCCTTTTTGTAGACACAGGCGTCACCTTCAAAGGACTCCTTCCACTTCCCAGGGACTTCCGGAAAGAGAGTTGGCATCGGAAGGAAAAAACCCCCAAGTGGCATCACAAACAGAGACAGAGACAGAAAGGACCCGAGGAAGAGTTGTGTCCAATCCTTACAAACAGACCTTAACAGACGTCGCCTTGGTTCAGAGGTAAACAAACCACTCACTCTTTTCCCACTATTTTTCAGGAAATAATAGAGAGACTGACACTTTAGAGTCGAAGCTTAAGACTGTTGAGAGAGAAAGAGAGGCATCTCGAAGTATTTTGATTTTTCTAAAAGGGGGGAAAAATAATAATAATAAGATAGCAGTTTTTCTGCGATTACACTGCTGTATTATAAATATATATACATATATGAGCTCTATATTTTTCTGTGGTTCGTTCTCGGTTTCTTTCTTTCTTTCTTTTTCCGGAAAGGAAAGAAAGGACTGGATCCCGGGTGCTTGTGTTCAAAGCTGTGGGGAGATTTTACTTGCCGGAGCAAACCCTTTGTAAATGATTCATAATTGATCTCTCTGGTTGGCTTCCTTTTGTGCTCATCCGGGTGAATTTTGCACCTCGGTCATCAAAAGTCTTGAGGCGGAAACAAACGTCGAAGATGAAAAAGTATGGGTTGTTGTGAGTTTTCCGGGCTGTATGGCCATGTTACAGAAGCATTCTCTCCTGARGTTTCGCCTGCATCTATGGCAGGCATCCTCAGAGGTTGTGAGGTCTCCCCTGGACATTRCATAGATATATAAACCTCACTTGCCTAGTTTCTAACAGACATCAAAACATATTGTCGAAGGTTTTCATGGCCGGAAATATTGTGTGAGTTTTCCGGGCTGTATAGCCATGTCCTCGAAGCATTCTCTCCTGACGTTTCGCCTGCATCTATGGCAGGCATCCTCAGAGGTTGTGAGTTCTCCCTTGGGCATTCCATAGATAAAACCACATTTGCCTAGTTCCCAACAGACCACATAACGTATTTTTGAAGGTTTTCATGGCCGGGATCACTGGGCTGTTGTAGGTTTTTTGGGCTGTAATAGCCATGTTCTCTGTCAGGCATCCTCAGAGGTTGTGAGGTCTCCCCTGGACCTTCCACAGATATATAAACCCAATTTTCTTAGCTTCCAACATACCCCACAACCTCTGAGGATGCCTGCCATAGATGCAGGTGAAATGTCAGGAGAGAATGCTTCTGGAACATAGCCATACAGCCCGAAAAACGAGGGTTTTCATGGCCGGAATCACTGGGCTGTTGTAGATTTTTCGGGCTGTATGTCCATGTTCTCTGGCAGGCATCTTCAGAGGTTTTGAGGTCCCTCCTGGACATTCCACAGATATATAAACCCAATTTTCCTAGCTTCCAACATACCCCACAACCTCTGAGGATGACTTCCATAGATGGAGGAGAATTGTCAGGAGAGAATGCTTCTGGAACATGGCCATACAGCCTGAAAAACTTACAACAACCCAGACCTCACAAGGTATTGTTAAAGGCTTGGAATCACTCGGTTGTTGTAGGTTTTTCGGGCTCTATGGCCATGTTCTAAAAGCATTCTCTCCTGACATTTTGCCTCCATCTATGGCAGGCATTGTGAGGACCTCACAACCTCTGAGGATGCCTGCTGTAGATGCAGGCGAAACGCCAGGAGAGAATGCTTGTCTTCAGTCTACATATAGCCTCATGACTCAATGCTTACTTTGTTTATATAATTTCTCTCATCGAATGTATCCCTGAAGCCTATATACAGTGGAACCCTTATTCAGAACTAGAACTGTTATTTTTGAGAGCAGTTTCTCCTTTTGATTTTGCTTTGTGCCACTGAATTGAGCTATGTACTGGGGATTTTGGTAAATCGCAAACTATATGCTCTTTTGATATTACACTTTGATATTACACATAGATTGTTTTGTGTTTGTTCTGATACCCTACAAGTATTCTGGGATATTGTATAGGAGAATGCTTCTAGAACATGGCTATAAAGCCCGAAAAATGTACAAAAACCTAGACCTCACAACCTGTGAGGATGCCTGCCATAGATGTAGGCAAAAGGTCAGGAGAGAATGCTTCTGGAAGGTGGAAAACTCACAACAACCCAGTGATTCCGGGCCATGAAAGCCTTCCACAATACATTATAAGAATACGGTTGGTGTAAATTGATTCTTTTATGTTGATCGGTAGAGTTTATATGGACTTGATCTTTGTTTCTTTCCTGGTTATTATGATTCTGGTTAGTCTTCTGATTCCAAGGAACCCGCTTTCCTTTGGGCCCTTTGTATATTGTCCCTTAAGCTATTTCTCCAGCTTTGTAAGGCGTTCTCACTCGATCCGTGGCTTGTCCTGCGTTGTTTGTGTAGACTGAACTCACTTCTCCGAGGAGGTATTCGTTGAGTGCTGTGACATATTTCAATGGGGGGATTCCCTGAGTCCCTTCCTCCCAAAGCCAGGCTTGGAGGAGGTGACAATGTGGTGCGGTTGGGTCGCTTTAAGGCTTCCTCTCCCTTCCTTATTTCCTTTGACTGCAACCTAGATTTGTATCGTTTCTGGAGGTTTTATGTTTTTGTAGGAAAAAAAATAGCCTAAGCTCTGTGAAAAGAAAACAGGAAAGAGAATGAGAGGAAGAGAGAGAACGAACACATCAACACATCGCTTCTAAACCCACATTGATCGGTTCCATTCTTGTGTGTATGTGAGTGTGTGTGTGTGTGTGTGAGAGAGAGAAAAAACCCTTTCAAAGCTCCTTAGATTGCCGTGATCGCTGCGTGTTGTAAATAATTCATTCAAGGCTGACGCACATATAGTTATATTCATACAGATCTCGCTGTATTGCTGTTCTGTTCGCAGGCTATTTGAAGTCTTCTTTCTGTACATTATTATGATGGTTTCTTGGGCATTTTTTTGTTAAGAAAAAGTTTATTTATTATGGTATTGTGTTGGTTTATTTAAACTGTTGTTGGATGGTCTTTCATTAAAAAAACAGATTTTAACGTTTTATTGACAAAAGACATGTTTCTGAGATTGTTTTCCCGTTCTTGCTCTCTATTATATCGTTTGCTAGTGATATGTAATGGTTTCAATCTAAAACAATAGATAGATAGCTATAGATACACATATATACATATGTATATTCTACACCGTGTGCTAGGGATATGTAATAGTTTCAATCTAAATCAATAGATAGATATACACATATATACATACATATATACTCTATATCATGTGCTAGTGATATGCAATAGTTTCTAAATGAATAGATTGACAGATATAGCTATAGATACACATATATACATACATATATATTCTATATCGTGTGTCAGTGATATGTAATAATTTCAATCTAAATCAATAGATAGATAGATAGATAGATATAAATTAATAGATACACAGATATAGCTATAGATACACATATATACATACATATATATTCTATATCGTGTGCTAGTAATATGTAATAGTTTCTAAATCATTAGATAGACAGATATAGCTATAGATAGATAGACATATATACATACATTATATATATATATATATATATATATATATATATATATATATATATATATATTAGAGTGTACATATTGTATACATGTATATTCCCATACCTCCTCTCTATTAGTGTATTAGTTAATTTGAACATATATGTGTGTGATCGTTTCTAAATCAATAGATGTATATATATACATACATATATATTATATGTATACATTATATATTGCATATGTGTATATTCCCATACCTCCTCTCTATTAGATAATGTGCTAGTGAATTTGAACATATATATGTAATAGCTTCTAAATCAATATATATAGATAGATATAGATATACATATAGATACACATATATACATACACATATATTGTATATATACATTATATATTGTATCTATGTATATTCCCACAACTCCTCGCTATTCGATAGTGTGTTAGTGAATTAGAACATATATATGTAATAGTTTCTAAATCTATAGATATATAGATATAGATATCCACATACATGCATGCATATATACACATATATTATATATATTGATATATACATTAATTTAGAAACTGTATTCTCAAATTCCCTCTTCATTATAATTCTTGGGATTTACTTCCATGTCCCTGTTTTTAAAGTGGGTGAAAAAGTAGGATGATGAAAACGTAAGTTTTATTAGACACCGCAGGTAATAAATTAATCCCTGGTAATTGGTAGATCCAATAGTTCTCCTTGACCAAAGTATTTCAAACTCTTGACCTTTCAGACTGGGAAAGAGGAGGGTGGTTATCTTAGTTCTGTATTTTGGTATCTATAGGGCCATACAAAGATGGCTTTGTTTCCCTTCTTGAGAATCTAAAATGCTTAATTCATGAACTAGGTGATGAGTGCCACCCCCCACCCCCCAAACTACCCAGTCAAACATACATAGCTTTTTGGTGGCCACAGATTGCTAGAATACAGGATTCAGGATAAGTCTGTGACCATTGTGCATAGTTTGTGGCTATAGCCAGATTGCATGATCCCGGACTGGTTTCTGTGGACATAGAGACCCAGGTGGCAGGATCATAGATAACCAGATTGCAGTATCCATAATTGCAGTTTCTGTGGCCATAGAGAACCAAATGGCAGGACTGACTACTTTTTGTGACCATCGATGGCCAGATGGCAAGATTTAGAAGTGGTCTGTGGCCACAGATAGTTGGATTACAGCAACCCGGACTGGTTTCTGTGTCCATAGGGATTGCAGCCTCCAGGGCCTGAGGTTGTAACAGAACTTGAGGGACCTGTGAAGTGAACTTTTCAATTCCCCCCTCTTCTGAGCAAAGAACAGGGGACGGGGAACCCTCTAAGCTGCCCTCCAAGCGCTTGGGTAGGAAGATCAAGAGTCAGGCAAATCCTCTGAGGGTGGGAGGGGCGCAGAGAGCGTGGAGTCAGAATCAGAGGAGGAGAAGACAACTCTAGTTGCCTTTCTTGTTCTCATTTCCTAGCATATTAAAAGCGATTAGAAAGGAGACAAATATCCAAACAACTCCGGCCTCGCATGCAGAGAGAGA